AACCAACTATTTTCTCGGATTGTAATTAAGTAAATGTAATATTTAGTCACGTAGTCTGTGATATTTAATGTAATATAGAATATTTAAGGATTCTTTGAAGAATGAGGCAATACATATCAAAATGTAATTAAAGCCTTCTGATAAAAAGGTTGCAATTGAAGCTGAACCCAAAGAAAGTGTATTGTTAGCAGTAGGATATTTTAAAGTAATTTGATAGAATATAGATTGACATTTTCAGATGACAGTGTAAGATAATATTATTTGTTAGGTTCACTGAATGAAAATTATTTATGATATCTTAGTGTTTGTTTTGTTGAGTAGGAGAATCACTTCCACTGAGTTCAGGTAATCAGATCACAATTCGATTTACTTCAGTTGGACCAATAACAGCTAAGGGATTTCACTTTGTTTATCAAGGTAAGTGACCCTGTAGTCTAGAAACACACTAAGGAATGATATCAATTTCCATGCTATATTCAGAGTTATTTAATGATAAGATCCTCATAACCATATAGGAGAGATAAAAGGTCTTTTTAAGCAGTCTTACCCTGTCCCCTCCATCCTTACTGGAGTACTATCACTTTGACTAAAATAAAAAAAAAGACCTGTTGCTTCCATCATCATTCTCAATTTAAATGTCTGATTTTCCTTCCTTGCAACATACTGTTTTCAAAACATCTATTTTTTTCTGACAATTCTTCACTCTCAACATTTTTTTATTTTCTCATAGTCTAGCACTCTAAGTTAAAAATGTACAAGTTTTTCTGCTGATGTATTTAGGCATGCCAAGGAAATCATTGCTTCATTCCAAAATTATAGCTTTTCATTCTCTCAGGAGAATTGAAACTTTCTTCACATTTATTAAGGATTTTTGTACAATTGGAAGTTTGTTTACATGTTTTTTTTCTCACCTTTTATAGATGATTTTCTATGTTATCATTAAAATAAATCAAGAGCCATCATTTGAAATATTTTCTTTGAATTATGTATGATATCACGTAGCAGTTCTTCTCAAATGTATCTTGAACTTTATTTCTAAGAAATTTCTAAACATTTGTGATGTGATATTCTTATTAAACCCTCTTATCCCTTTTATCAGTTGACTATAATATTATACTGTTGTATTTTTAGTAGTACTTCCCCCAGTAAACAATTTGTGGTATTGTGAAATTAAAAAGGCACTGTAACAGATGTAATTATATTTACTCAAATCACATAAGAGGAATTTATCTATTTGGAATTCATCATATCATTTTTTGGGCTGTTGTCAATCTCTTTGATCACATTTGTTATGTGTTTTAAAAAGAAAAAACATCCTGTTATCATTCTATTTTACTAAATAAAAAAAGGCACAATTAAAGGACATAACTATAAAATCTAAAAGCAATTTCAAATTTGGATGATTTTGCAATATTATTTGATTATTAAAGTAAAAACTTTATTGTTGTTAATCTGTCTGACTTATATTCTGCTTAGCCTGAATGTAGTTATTTTCATCATAACAAACATGTTTTGCAAACTAAGTTTTGTGAATGTGTTATGAAATTAATACAGTGTTACGTTTGCTTTTTTAAACCTGTTTTTAATTAAGAATCACATACTGAAAAAAAACTGTAAAAGTATTTAATGCAACCTGTAATATATTTTTTAACTTGTTACTTCAAATTTAAAAAGAAAAAAAACTCAGTTTTCATCTCACAAATTACAATATCTAACTAAATTAGATACTTAGCTAAATTAATAAGAATTTGGTAAAACAAAATATAGAAAGAAAAGCATAGTTAGTGTTTAAATGATCAAAAGTAAAACATTTTCAGTAATAAATCTTGATAGCAATATTCATTTTAAATTGTATTTTATTCTGTAAAAAATTTAAAACTTTTAGGAATGTATTTAAATTGTTAATTCAAGTTCTAACAAAAACTGAAGACTTCTTTGTAATATGTTTAAATATTTAAATTTTGAAATCTGTATTTGTCTACCAAATGTGAAATTAAAGAAAATAATTATTTCTACACAGCTGTTCCTAGAACAAGTTCTACACAATGCAGTTCTGTGCCTGAACCAAGATTTGGAAGAAGAATTGGCAATGAATTTGCAGTTGGTTCATTGGTTCTCTTTGAATGTAATCCAGGATATATTCTCCATGGATCCATAGCAATTAGGTGTGATACAGTGCCCAATTCTTTGGCCCAGTGGAATGATTCCTTACCTACCTGTATTGGTGAGTATATAAATTTGTATGCTCTGTGATTGTACATATTTTATGTAAAAATTAGTTATCTTACATCTTTTAATTTTTAAATTTCACATCTAATTATGCACTAATTTTTAAATAATTTATTAGATATGCTGTATTTTGAAAATTAAGTGGAGATTTGTTGTAATTGTTTTGGTGATGAAATCAATGAAAAAAATTGTGTTAGATTAGCTGAATAGTTTCCTCATTTATTAATTTAGACAGTTGTCATCAAAAGAATTAGAAAATTTGCATTAGTAAATAAAATTTTTTTCTTTTACTCTTTGTTATAGACACGTATAAAGAATATAAAATAAGAGATTTTTCTCAGTCTTTTACAAACATAGATGGTAACAGCGTTGAATGACTAGAATGCATAGGATTAGCTAAAAATATCATTGTTTCAATGTATATTTTTGCAATACTATATCTAATTTACATTGGTAAATAGAATATCTACTATCTAAAGTCATGGGTCTTTAAGTTGTTTAGAAACTTATAGTATTTCGGGATAATTACAATGATTCTTGGTTCTTATGGAGTTAAATGCACATAGAAAATATATAAAGTTTGGAATTTGCCCTTTTCTTTGTCCCAATACCGTATCTGGAAATTATTACTTTTTAAAATTACATAGTATTAAATTCAAAGAGTGGTAAGACTTAACTTCAGGTTAAGAAATATTTCTAATGTGTTGAGTTCTTTCTCTTTAAAGTTATATTGGTCTGTGATTTAGAAATAATATTTTTTAAAATAAATTTTTTTTATTTCAATAATCTCAATTTTCCACTCTCCATAAGGAAGACATGCATCCTTATATGTGTCTATCTCATCTAAAAGAGGAGAAAAAAATTAGAAAAAGAGAAGAGAGTCACAAAGTGAAAAGAGTGATATTACCATCAGGAAAAATCCAAAGTATTAATAGTTACTATAAAGTATTAATCATCAACCTTGAGATTTCTTATCTAAATTAAATCCTATACCCATTTATTTTCAAAAAATAGTCTTCTTAAAATTTTATTGCTTTTATGTCATGGTCACTACGTTTATGACCTGAAATACATGTGTCAGGAATATGAACCAATTGGCACCTATCCTCTTTTAAAGGTAGAAAAAAAGATGACTATTATATTGTAATACTTTGTTCTCTCTCTCCTCCTCTTTCTATTTTTTTGTTTTTTGTTTTCGTTTTTGGATGGTTGGTGATTTGTTTGCTTCTCCTGGTTCCTGTTGATCAGTGGTGTTTGGCCAGTTTGTATTTTTCCAGACATCACTCCACGATGTTGTTGAGGTGTATGATGGGCCAACTCAGCAATCTTCTCTGTTATCTTCCCTCTCGGGATCCCATTCAGGTATCCTTTAATAGAACTGCCATGCATCAGTTATTGATTATAGACTGACTTTGACTAGTATTGTAGTGAAGGTTGAGATTTATGTCATCCATATTAGAAATAAAGTAAACTGAAAATAGAATCACTTTTTTTCTTTTTTTTAAGAATA